CCCTCTGTCCGGCACACTCGGTGCCAGCCCCTGCCCCCCCCGGGGCACAGAAAACGTGGGGCACGTTACCAGAGGTGAAGGGGCCCATCTTCTCCGGTGGCGTGGTGTCCCCGTTCTCAAGGGAAAGCTGCAGGGAGGAGGGGGGGGGGGAAGGGGCAGACCGGGGGGACAACCCCATGGCCCCCCCCCCCCCCCCCCGCCACAGGGACCCAAATCTAAGGGGTCTGGTGCCTGGGGATCCCTCGCTGAGATCGGCCAACTCTGGGGTGGAGCAAAGGCTGATTATAACGGGGACCCACCTCCCCCCAGTGCCGGGCACCAACTCCTGGGGCGAGCGCCCCCCCCTCACCTTGGGCTGCTCGTTGCGGCTGGTCTCCCGCAGGGCGCCGGCGTCCCCGTGCAGCCGCTGGCGCAAGGCTGCCAGGCGCTCCAGGGGCCCGGCCAGTTCGGGCGAGGCCAGCAGCTGGCGGGCGCGGTCCTGCCAGGTGATGGCGCGCTCCGTCAGGCACTGCAGGGCCTCGCCCTCGGGCAGCCGCACGGGCAGCTTCTGCAAGGCCACCAGCAGGGCCAGGATGGTCTCGAGGCGCGGGCGGCGGGAGCGCTGGCACAGCGGGCACAGGAACTTGGCGTCCCACTCCCACCAGGCGGGCGAGGGCTTCTGGGCGCCCAGGCGGGGCCAGGCCACGCAGGGAGCGTGGAACCAGTCGCGGCAGAGCTCGCAGCGCAGCATGCCGGGCCCGGGCGGCTGGCCGCACACGCAGGAGGGGGGGCCGGGCGCCGGCGGGCCGGGCTTCAGCGCGTTGGCACGGCGCAGCCGCAGGATGCCCTCCTTCTCCTTCTGCTCGCCCTCCTTGAACGCCACGATCTGCCGGGACCGGGGGGGCGCTCAGTGTGGGCGGGGGGGCAGCCTGCCCGCTGCCGGCCCCCCCATGGCAGCAGGGCCAGCCCCTCTGCCAGCCTCCCCTTTCCTTCCCTGTCCGCTGCCGGCCCCCCCATGGCAGCAGGGCCGGCCCCTCTGCCAGCCTCCCCTTTCCTTCCCTGCCCGCTGCCGGCCCCATGCCAGCAGGGCCAGCCCCTCTGCCAGCCTGTCTCGCCTTTCCTTCCCTGCCCCCAACCTTTCCCACCTCCCCCCACGGCCCCCAGCTCCCCACCAACCCCCAACCTCCCCTCCTTTCCCCCCCACCCCCCTGCCAGCTCACCCCAATGTCTCTCCTGGTGCCCCTAGAGGGGACAGGCCCC